GTGGTGTCCAAACTTCTCCATTCTGGCCAACGTGATCATGTTGAGATGGCCAATTTCTCCTGTGGACATGAAGACCAGTAGTCTCTGGGATGGGGGGGATTTCTTTTGTCTTGTGGACCACAGGATGCCACGGGCTCTTCATGGTGATTTTCTGCCCCCACTAGGAACCAGCGTCCCTTCTCTCCTGTGCACTCCTGTGAGTGGCCAAAGCTATAAAACAAAATCATAATGGGCTTTCCCCATGCCAGGTGGGGTGCTCGGCCTCGGGAACCATTCAGTGTGAGCTTTCAGCATTGTTGTAAAGATGTTTCTGACACCTGCCTTGCAAGTAAAGTCAGGGTCCAACTGTGCCTTCCCTTGACTCCAGCACGTACACTTGGCTGAGGCGAGGGCAAGGGCAGGGTTGTCCGCAATGCTCTCATCAGAGACGTTGCAAGAGGCACTCAGGTGGGAAGTGTGAGTCAAGAGGGAGAACAATTACCTGCTGTGCACTTGGCCCTGAGTTCACACCCCAGTACTGAAAAGGAGAAGGAAAGGAGGAAGAGGAGGAGGGGGGGGGAGGGGCAGGGGGAGGGGGAGGAGGAGGAGGGGGAGGGGAGGAGGAGGAGGGGGAGGAGGAGGGGGAGGAGGGGGGAGGGGGAGGAGGGGGGAGGAGAGGGGGAGGGGGAGGAGGAGACGATGAGGAGGAAGAGGAGGAGGAAGGGGAGGAGGAAGAGGAGGGAAAAGGAGGAGAAGGAGAAGAGGAGGAGGAAGGGGAGGAAGAGGAGGAAGAAGGGGAGGAGGAGGAGGAGAGAAGAACTTAATTCTGTTTGCTCAGCCAAACTAAAGAGAAGGGACAGAAAGCTGAGAATGATAACAATGAAATCAGTCTACAACAGTTATCTGTGTTGTGTTTATTCTTACTATCCCTATTAGAGGCCTTGTTCTGGGGATTTCTTGGGGGTGTTATTTTTGTTTTTTAAGAAAACAGTCCAACGAAATTGACTTGATCCTGGAGTTTTGGAAAAGTTTAAAGCTCACGAAAATTCTAATCGTGTTCAGATTTTAATAAGAAGTTTGCTTTGGCAAACAAAAGAATGGGAAGGTCCAATGCTGCCCAACCATTGACCTCTGCAAAAGGAGGGCCTGGCAGCTGTGTAAACTATGTGTCCGACCTGGAGAAGAAGGAAGGAAACGCTGTCCTCACTATTGATGGCCTTGTGACAGGATTCACAAGGGAAAAAGCACACAAGGTTATTTACAAGTTTTACATGAAGGGAATCTTAGATTGAAGACCCAAGACACAGGGAGACCTGGGGTGGTCATGGGGTGAGATGGCAGGCATGTGAGCCTGTGTCCTGCCCGGGTCCCAGGTCTTTCGGGAGAAGGATGCTCACCGCGCAGGCCCGGCAGCCCTCCGGTGAGGGTCTGGGACCTGCTTCAGGGGAGAAGGATGGCAGGGAGATGAGCAGGCCCTCCAACATCTGCTGCCCTCTCAGATGGATGGGGTGACATAACCTGAACCCCATCTCTGACTTGGAAGCCTAAGGACAGACCACCTGCTTTGCACTTCATTTTCCATAGAGTACTGACAGTCTTGAAAGACACACGTTATGTGGGAGGAAGGAAACCTCGTACTTAACTGTTTAAGTCTTACAAAAAAAAGTTTGCCTAGAACTTTTTACAGGCAAACCTGTGACGCCTGAGGGGCGTCCTTATGGTTTTAGAGCCATGCACAGTCCTCCCTTCCAGCTATTCTGAAGTACGCAACGTACGTGGTTAACAGCGGCCATTTTACTGTGTCTCACGTTACCCCAACTTACCTAGTGACCCTTTTCCCCTTTGCAAAGCTGGGGTTCGAGTCCTTTCATGATTTCTAGTGCTACTCAGCTTGGTTTGAGGCCAAGATCTGAGGAGGAAGAAGAAGATGGGGTACCTGGAGAGAGGGGGACCCCAGAGCCCCAGCCAGGAGTCCCTCCACACTCTGCCCTCTCTTCCCCTTGTCCTCCAGTCTCACACCGGCTCATGTCCAGCCTCCTGGCTCAAAGGAAATCAGCACAGGACTGATGTTGTGTAGGGAACACAGAACAGTATCAGTAAACGGATATAGTTTAATGTGGGTGAATGTTGGGGGCCCCTCCTCCACGGGACAGAGCATGGAAATGGGGTGAGCACCCCGCCCTCCACATGGGCTGCAGAGCCGGGCAGACCCTCCCCAGGGTCCCACAGAGAAACCGTCTCAGGGCTGCCAGGTGAGAAGGAGCAGGGGAGTAGCTTCTGGAAAAACAAAACCAGAAACTGGGTCAAGGGCATGGCCCTCAGCTACCGGAAGTTCATACAGGAAAGGTTTATGCTCAAGCTGGCTCCAAAAGGAGAATGATGTCTCCATAGGTGGAAGGTTCTGGAAGGCAAATCTCAATGCACTGTGAGGAAGACTTTACCAGCAATCAGTTATGTCTGATAAGGGAATGAGCCTACAGGTCTGGACCAAAGCTGACACCTGGCGTTCCAGACAGGACCCACTGGGCAGCAGCACTGCTGGGCAGCTGGGAGACGGAGAGGAAGACAGAGGCAGGATGCAGGGAAGGGGAGAGGGTGAAAAGTAGCCCACTGACTGACGTAGAGAACCAGCCTGCTCGGTGGTTCTGGGATCTCATCAGCTCGGCCTCAGGTAGTTCCAGAGCTGCTTGAGGAGTTCACTCGGAGTTAGGGAGGGAGTTGCCTGGTAACAGGACAGGTGGGGTCAGCCCAGACTACAGGCGCCCTTCCTCCTCCTGTGTGGTCGGCTGTCAACATCCCTGACCACCACAAGAACACAGCCTGTCTCTGAGAGACAGTCGGCTTCCCTTTCTCTAGCTAACCAGAGGGGATGTCACCAACTTCAAGGTATCACACACCAACTGCTAAGATGATGACAGGGGACCCAAGCCCTCCTCTCCACTGCGGTGGGGCCCTTTGCTCTGCATTTCTGTCCTCCAGGTGTCTGAGCCCTGGCTGGTTAGCAGGCAGGGCTCCTCCACTCTAACTTTCCACCTGACTAGCCAGGCCTCTGGGGTGGGGGTGAAGAGGAAGGGAGGCTGGGCAGGACTGGCTACGATCTAGCCCTGCTGGGTGCCATGGGCCGAGGCTTAAAACGGTGGACTATGTTTATTGACATTAAAAAAAGACTGATAAGCGATGGAGAAATACTTCCAACTTCAATTACAATAAGTGATCCGATCAAGATTAAACAATTCACGTGGGATCCAGTGACTCTCAGGTCACACTTGTGCATATATAAGCATCCCATAAACGAAGTGACAAGGGGAGGAGATACCCAGGATTGAAATTCGAGCACTGAGTGAGTCCTCAGCTGTGCCCAGCCCCCACCCCGCCCCCCGCCTCTCCCTGGACCCCCTCACCCCCCCCCCCCAGCTGCTGTGCTGTGGGCTCGGTGTCCCTGCTAGGCCTCCCCGGAAGTGTCAAATGACTACACAAACTCACTGCTGTGAGCGAGCTGAGTTCTTACCTTTGCCCTACCTGATCCTTTCCTCTAGCTAATTCGGATGGATTTCAACATCAGTTCTCCTTGCCATCAGTGGGCGCTCTCCCAGCCTCCCACCTGCAGCCCTCTCGCTTGGCCTGAACACCTGACATCTTTGATGTGCATGGTGTCCGTGAGTCAAGCCAGCTGCAAGTGTCTGGACATTTCCCAGTAAGAGGCGGTCAGGACCATCTCTGGTCCCTGAGAGGAGAGTGACGTTGAACCACCAAGGTCACTTTTTCGCTCTCCCACTCCCACAGCCTTCCGGTGAGTAACAGCAGCCCGATGGCAGGGAGACATGGCCTCAGCTTGTGACTCATTCACCTGGGACTCGGGACACCGTGGAGGAGGCCCCTAAACTGCCCAGGACAGAGAGTGGCCCCGGCTTGGGCAGCAGGCAGCAGAGCTCAGCCAAGGGTGAGATGAGGCCTTCGGAGACATCGGTGGCCGGCCTGGTTCTGGTGTCCAGTTTGCCCCTGCAGAGTGCTGAGAGACTGCTCCAGGTCACGGCCTTCAGCCTGCATTGTCACCCACGCGGACTGCTCCACAGAAGGGGAGGAGGGTCAGGAAGGGCTGGAGGAGAAAGAACAAACCAGCGGCACTCCGTTTCTGGCATGTCATCCTGCAGATGCATCATCTTCCTCTCCCTTGAGGAGCCTTCTCTCCCTGTAGAAACATAGATGTCTGTTTCCCTCGCAGCTGGATGTTCTCACGTTACAGAGACATCCCCAACCCCCGACATAGGCAGAAACAGCTAGAACCCCAAAACACCGTAGTAGGGAACCACCCCTCCCTGTGTGTGCACTCAACCGGTGTGTGTGTGAGGCCAACAGGTAATTCTTTCCTCACCCATGGATGAAGGGGAAGGACACTTTGGGGTTGCAACGAATGAATACCAGACAAGACACTTTGCAAAGGCAGCATGAGAACATCGGGGAAATCAAAGCAAGCGGCCACAGCGTGCCTGCAGGGCACTCGCTCATTTGTAGAAAGATCTGGATGGGGGGGTGGGGGGTGTAGAATTTGCAAAGCACTTAGAGCAGGAGGCAACTGTGGACTAGAGACCCCGGGGCACATGCACGGGACTGGACACACACACTGGGCCACGAGCATCTTCTCTGTTGCACCTTGCCAAAAGGCCAGCTGGTGGGGGGGGGGGGGGGGGGGGGAGACAAGATGGATTCATTTCCAAGACACCTGGTGTGCTGGAGAAAAAGATTAACAGGCAGAGATAGGGGACGGGGCTCAGATTTCTTCCCCAGAGAAAAGACTGTTTGTGGTGCTGCAAGGAGGCAGAGGATGATGCTACATTTAACAAAAAAGGACGTGGCTCTCCAGGGGTCTGCCCCCCCGGCACTTCCTGTGGCTACAGGTCCTCTCCCCCCCAACCCCCCCCCCCCCACCCGCCCGCCCTCCTCCCTGCTGGAGAGGCACACAGTTTGAAGTTGGCCCGCCCAAAGAAAGTCCAACCCGAAGGCTGGTCTCTGTCTAAAGTAAACTAGCTCTTACCCTTTGACTCGTGGTCAGGAGTTGTCCAGAGCTGGCCCGGCCTGCCGCCCTCAGCACTTGGGGCCGTGCCGAGGAAGGATCAAGACCTCCTGCCCACCTTTAAGAACCATGCCAACTGTGGATGATATTCTAGAACATATAGGGGAATTCCACTTGTTCCAGAAGCAGACATTTTTCCTCCTATCGCTGCTCTCCGTTGCCTTCACCCCCATCTACGTGGGCATCGTCTTCCTGGGCTTCACCCCCGAGCACCGCTGCCGGAGCCCTGGGGTGGCTGAGCTGAGCCAGCGATGCGGTTGGAGCCTGGCCGAGGAGTTGAACTACACGGTGCCGGGCCCGGGCGCGGCGGACGAGGCCCACCTCCGCCAGTGCACGCAGTATGAGGTGGACTGGAACCGGAGCGACCTGGGCTGTGTGGACCCGCTGGCCAGCCTGGCCGCCAACAGGAGCCAGCTGCCACTGCGGCCCTGTCAGCACGGCTGGGTGTACGACGCGCCCGGCTCCTCCATTGTCACCGAGGTAAGTGAGCACAGGAGTCAGAGTGAAAAGGCAAAGAATTGAGCTTTTCTTAAGACGCTTGGAAAGACCTGTATTTTGGTGGTGGTGGTGTTTTGGTGGTGGTGGTGGTGGTGGTGTGTGTGTGTGTGTGTGTGTGTGTGTGTGGTGTTGGTACGAGGGCTTGAACTTAGGGCCTCATGTTGTGCTTTTTCTGCTCAAGGTTGGTGCTCTACTACTTGATCTATACCTCTACTCTTCTTTCTTTCTTTCTTTCTTTCTTTTCTCTTCCTTCTTTCTTTCTTCTTTTCCTTCCTTCTTTCCTTCTTCCTTCCTTGCTTCCTTCCTTCCTTCCTTCCTCCTTCCTTCCTTGGTTAATTAGAGACATGAGACTCTCAGATTTGTCTTCCCAGGCTGGCTTTGAACTGAGATCCTCAAGTTTCAGCCTCCTGAATCCCTAGGATTTACAGTTGCCACTGGCACCTTGAACTGTGCCCAGATAAGCTCTTAGAACTAAGGGGTTTTTCTAAAACCCTAGTTTCCAAATGAAAGTAGTGGTTTCTAATGTACAGAGTCGTTAGTTAAAACTTCCTCAAATTCTGACACTGATCATTCTAGTTTGTCCAAGTGTGAGCCATAAACCAAGAAAGTAGGAAGAGAGCATCACATGCCATCCCCGAAGAGGAACCGTCTGCAGCCAGCTTGTTTCCCGGAGTCCCACCTCCCTGGTCCTCTCCCACCATACAGATGACACTGGAAATGCTGTGTCATTCACCCCAACCGTGTTTTATGATGCGCTTTTGTAAATTTCTCTTGAATTTGCCCTAAGTGTTCCTATGAAACCTTTGAGGCTGGGGGTTATACTACAGAATAATTTTCGCGTGTGCGCGTGCGTGCGTGCGTGCGTGCGTGCGTGCGGGTGTGTGTGTGTGTGTGTGTGTGTGTGCGCGCGCGCGCGCGCGCGCGCACACGCATGCGCACATGCACACATTAAGGCTCAAACTCTCACTTGGCTTGTTTGTTTGTTCTCAAAGCTGGCACTCTACCACTTGAGCCATGCCTCTATTTCTAGCCTTTTACTGCAGAACTGGAGATAAGAATCTCACAGACTTTTCTGCCCAGGCTAGTTTTGAACTTGATCCTTTAATCTCTCCCTCCTAAGTAGCTAGGATTATAGGCATGAGTCACTGGTGTGTGGTTATACAATTATTTTTATGAAAACACGGTAAAGTATAATTGTGAGGTATTCCAAGAAGAGAAAAGAAAACGTGGAGACATTTATTAGAGGCAAAGCCAGGTGGGGAGGGGCTGTCCTGAAAATACAGAGAAAGCAGGTTTCCCTGTTTAGTGTGAAAGACTGGGTGATGTGAAGATTGTGTGTGAACTGCATCTAGTAGAGGAGGTGCATTTGAAGGAAGGGAAGGGAATCTATCTACAGACAGAGGCGTATGAACTTAAAGCCATGCAACTCTGAGAGGTTCTACAGAGAGATGGGGAAACTAAGGCTCAGGACAGAGCAAAGCATTGCAGTTAGCTCTAGAAATCAGATCTCCTGACGTCACACCCTCCAGGCCAGCATCTGTTCACCTTGCCACCACCGCTGGTTATTCCACCTGAGACAGGTGAGACAGCCATCAACCCTTCAGTGTTTAAAAAGAAAGACAGCTACGAGACTCGGGGGAGGGCCGCGCATGCCTAGACTCGAGTCATGGTTCAATGCCATGCAGAACAGGAAACTCCATAGGACATTTGTCTCCCATTAACCAGCAAAAGGCCAGACGTGGAGCTTTGGCTCAAGTGGTAGAGGGTCCACCTTGAGCAAAAAAGCCAAGGGACAGTGCCCAGACCCTGAATTCAAACCCTGGTACTGGAAAAAAAAATTAAGGCAGCTAAGAGATGCTCAAAGCCATCTCACCTAGCTGCATGGGAGCTGTGTCATCTATTAACACTAGAGAGGGGAAATGCTATGGACTATAAGCAGAGTAATTACCCACTTTCAGCGGGGACATCCAACACTTTGACCAAATGGCACTGCCAGGGTGACAGTATATGGTCTTCAAGCAACCCTTCTGGGACTGATAAGAAAGTGAACATGGTCAGGAAACAGGGTTGCTGCTCTTCAGCCATGCCAGCTCAGTCCAGAGAACATTCCACAACTCCCTGGCTGAGGGGCAGTGGACAGGATTCTAACAGGATTTTGTTTCCTTTCTTCCTTGGAAACACGTGGACAGTTTAACCTGGTATGCGCCAACTCCTGGATGCTGGACCTGTTTCAGTCAGCGGTGAATGTAGGGTTTTTCGTTGGTGCTGTGGCTATTGGCTACCTAGCAGACAGGTAGGTAAAGCACCCATGGGACACTTGAAAAAATCCCATGGTTGGGATAACACTTGGTTCACCTGCCCTGCTTGAATCTTCCTTTTCCACAAACACATAGATCACTGGAAACCAACATCTGTTGTTTCTACAATCTTAGCTTTCTTCCGTTGTTTTGGTAACCCTGACTCATATTTTAACTTCCCAATTCTCTGAAGTCCTCAAGGGAGACGTCAGTATTAGACAGCACTCTTTTCTTGTAGCCCATCCAATGCTTACAGCCAGGAGGGAGAGTAACAGATGACTTAACCTCTATAGGAATTTCTAGTTTATTTTCATCTCGTCCCCCTCTACCCCCCACCTGGAGGCCAGAAGCCTCCAGGGACCATGAGTTCCATTGTGCCCTGCAGGGGTCCCCCAAAGCTAGAGCCATTGTAGAATCTCCCCCATTGCGTGTTGGACTGCAGGAATTCCTGGATCGGGCCTTGGGCATCAGATCAGACTAAGTGTGAGGAACCCAGAATGCACGAATCTAACAAAAAAGAGTGGGGTCTGACTAATGCGAGAGAAGTGCAGACTGCTGCACCTTGTCTGTGTTGCTGGAGAGATGAGCTAGGACTCCTGGCAGGAAATGGCCTTGTTGGAGGAATCTGTGTCTCTGCATCTTCACATTCCCTATCTGCATGGATCAAGCCATCCTTGCATCTCTCATTCACCACCATATTGGATTCCCACTCAACCAGGACTCTAGACCAGTGGGTAGTCATAAGAGTCCTCAAAGGAGAAAGGAGTGAGTCCTTGGTCTCATGAGCACTTTGTGTTACCTGGCCATCGTGGCCAGTGGTCAAATATCTGTAAAGTCAGCTGCAAGTAGGTTGTCCTCTCTGAGTCAGGTACCAGACTCGGTGCTTGGATGCTACCATTCTCTTTAATCCTCTGTAATTGTATAGTCTGTAAATTCATGGTATACTCCTACTCATGTATGAGATAGATGGATGGATGGATAGATAGATAGATAGATAGATAGATAGATAGATAGATAGATAGATAGATAGAAAGATAGATTCTGAAATAAGTGGTAAATATACTGCCATTCCATGCCTGTCCTGACTGGATCTCTGACATAACCCAGACCTGTGGGTATAATATTAAACACAGGTAGGGTGCTTTCTCTGCTTATGTGAAATTGCCAGGCTGGACTAAAACTTGCAAGTGTACCAGCCAACTGTGGCTCATGCCTGTATTCCTAACTGCTCAGGAGGCTGAGATCTGAGGATCATGGTTCAAAGCCAGCCCAGGCAGGAAAGTCCATGAGACTCTTATATTCAATAAACCACCAGAAATCCAGAAGTTGCGTTGTGGCTCAAGTGGTAGAGGGCTTGCCTTGAGCTGAAGAGCTGAGGGACAGCGCCCAGGCCCAGAGTTCAAGCCCCACAACCGGCCAAAACAAAAACAAAAGCATAAAAAACAAAAAGACTCCCAAGTGTGTGGAAGGTTCCTGAGGACAGCGGTGTCTGTCCAAGGGCTTGAGCTTACCCAGAAGGCCCTGGCCCAGTGGCAGCTCCGTCCATCCTGATATATTTGTAAACTGCTGCTCGGCTTCCTCGTCCAGGCTTCTCTTGGCCTGGCCATGCTCAGCAGGAAGGGGAAGAGGAAGCGCATTCATTTTTATTGTTGTTGCCACAAAACTGAGGGTGGTTGTTCGGAGGTGGCCCATGAAGTGGAGAAGGACACATTAACAGAGGAGTCCAAGGTCCGGCCTCACTCCCCAGGAGGCTGGAGAGGCCTTGCTCCGTGCCCTGCGAGGTGGAGGCACTAACACCTGACCGGCCAGGACGCCTGCCAGCCCCCAGCCCCTCCTGGGCCTCACCCTGCAGCCCAAAGGAGGGAGTTAATTATTCACATCTCACTCAAGGAGTAGGAGGGGGTCCAATTCCCCCGGGGACAGTGCATTCCTGAGTTATAATCCATCAGTCCCCCCCACCCCGCTTCATGACCTCATTCCCCTGTTCCTGGGGAAGCTCTAGAAAGCTGATGACTCATCATTGCTGCCCATGCTAGACACCCATGTCTGTGCCTTTCCTCCACTGTCTGGAATTCTGTCTGCCGGTCAGTCCATCTGTCTCTGCTCCTTCTCTTCTACTTGGACCTGTGTGTGAGAGGGTGAAGGAGGCGCCAGCCCACACAGCTCTCCACCCAAGAAACCGTTTATTTTCTGCAGAATTAATGCCTATGAATGGGATGAGAATTTTATGCAAATCCACTTTACTCACAGGTCAGACCAACACTAAATACCACACGTTCCTTCTATAGAGAATTTTTAAAAAATATGTCCGACAAGCTGATGCTCTTTTCCTTTTTTGCTAAGGCTAGAACCGAGGCCCTTGTGCATGCCGGGTGAGCACTCGACCACAAAACTAAATCCTCAGCTAGGGTAGCTTTTTGGAGAAAACTAGGAGGACATTGTGAAAAATATGTAAAAAAGAATACTGAAACCAACAGAAGAAGGGTAAGGAGAGAGAGAGAGAAAGGAAAGAAAAAGAGAGAAGGGAGAAGGAAAGGAAGGACAAAAAGGAAACAGTGGAGGGAGAAAGGGAGGGAGAGAAATGAAAAGGAATGAGAGCAGAAGAGAGGCTAAAAATTAAGCAAGGTGTGACTCTGAAAGGCTTTTAATTTCATTTACAACAGGAGGCTAATCATTAAAGGAGAATTCAGAAATGACATGGTCAAAACAGCTTTCAGTTGAGTAGTTTACATTAATTATTAGTAATACTGCTGGAACTTTAAATCTCAGAATATTAACATCTTAAATAATATTTAATGCTGTTGTAGACTCTTTTCACATGGTTAAAGAATCCCCACCAGAACACAGTTGCTCCTCAGTAAGAGAAACAATTACAGAATGTTCAGCCACCATGAGCAACCTTAGCGAGAAACCCTTCATTCCAGCGAATTGGGGGTCCTTCGAAACACTGCCAGGAGGGCTGATCCCCAAGTTAGCCGTCCGGTAGCCAGCTAGGCGAGTCTACTTTCTGGACTATCACAAAATACCTGAGGCTAAATGAGTATGAAGAGAAGAGGTTTACTTAGCTCCTGGCTTAGGAGGTTCCAGGGCACGGCCCTGGCCAGCTTTGACTCAGCTCTGCTGAGGCTCTCACAGCAGAGGGCACCTCCAAGAGCCACAGAGATCACAAAACGGGAAGCCAGAGAGAAGTCAGAGGTCTCCATTTCTGGAGGGCGAATTCAGGATCTCACCAAGAACAACCTTGATCTCTTTGGAGAGCAGTACCCCAGACCCACAGGCCTCCCACTGGAGTCCACTGAGCACAGGGTACCCCAGCATACAATCCCTGGGGAACAAGGCACATCCAAACCACAGCATGAGCTTCCCAGACAGGAGGCGGAAAGGCAGGGAAGCAGTGCTGGGCTCCCCGGCTGTCCAATCTCACAGAGCCCTCCTCCCCTCCTCCAGCGGCTCACTTAGTCTTTGCCATGAAGAAACTGAGTCAAGTTGAAGAACTTGCCCACTAGCATGGTAAGTGGTAAGGCTGTGATTAAAGCCGGTTTGCCAGTTTTTCCTCTTCTATGTCCTGGTCCAACGGTCTAATCTCCAAGCTGTTGAAGCTTGCGTCCTTCAAATAAAAAACATTGAAGCCAGGTGGTAGCTCAAGCCTATAATCCTAACTACTCAGGATGCTAAGCTCTGAGTATCATGGCAGGCAAGTTCATCAGACTGGTATCTCCAATGAATCACCAAAAAGTTGGAAGTGGAGCTGTAGCTCAAGTGGTAGAACCTTAGCCTTGAGCACCAAAGCTCAAGGACATCACCCAGTCCTTGAGTTCAAGCACCAGGACCCTCTCTGTCTCTCTCTCTCTCTCTCTGTCTCTCTCTCTCTCTCTCTCTGTCTCTCTCTCTCTCTCTCTCTCTCTCTTACACACACACACACACACACACACACACACACACACACAAATTATAGGATGCTGATGAAAAAGCCTTAAACAGAACCAAAGCCTGCAATTTGGAGTTAACCTCTGGTTTTGATTAGATGTCTGTAACTTCTATGAATTTTCTTCCATGAATCAAATAATTCTGCTCCCCGTCCTCATCCTTCTCCCGGCAGGTTTGGTCGCAAGTTCTGCCTCTTGGTCACAATCCTCGTCAATGCTGTCTCTGGGGTTCTCATGGCTGTGTCCCCAAACTACACGTGGATGCTGATCTTTCGCTTGATCCAAGGGCTGGTCAGCAAAGCGGGCTGGCTGATCGGCTACATCATGAGTAAGCGTGCTAGCACAGCATCGGGGCAGCTATGACCAGTGCAGCCGGGTGGGGGCTGGGTGGGAAAGGCCTCGGTTTTGAGACAAACCTTGGAGACTTCTCTTTTGTGTCCCACGAATTCTATAAACCATTCTGTGAGCTCACTGAGCATCGCCCCTAAGAGAATGGAGAGATGAAGGCAGAAAGCAGGCACGCATTGGCATCTCCCATTCCTGAGTCACTCTGGCAACGCTTGTTTTCTGGATTGGGAGAGCTATATGGGGAGAAAGCCTAGCCTACCAAATCTATTCAGCTACCAGACCCGACACTAGATGTATCTGCTGTACAAGGGACTCCATTACTGCACATCCAGTGTAAGGAACCACAGTTGTCCTGGATTTACACACAAGGAGATGGTGCTGTGGTGGACCTACGCTGTTCAGCAAGCCGCTTGTAGAATGAGGGATGTCATTTCTACCTACTCATCAGTAGCTTGAGTAACAGTCCAAGCCTATGGAGTATACGAACATTTAAATTCTAAAGCATAGAGTCTTTATAATAATGTGAAGGAAAATTACCACCCTAAGTTGGTCTTGGGAACTAATCTTATCATTACTTTTCCTTGGGCTATATTCACGTAGCATTTATATAAAAGGATCGGACACTTTGAAATTGACAACTAATCATAAATGATAGCTACATTTTGCGATGTAGATAGAGCATGGTTCTTAGACTGGTCCTCCTCACATCTCAGCCTCCTGAGTGGCTAGGATTACAGGCATGAGCTCCTGTGCCAGGCTGGTCCTGTATCCTCATAATCTGAATGCTGCTGGCCATTCCGTTGTTCTCTGCAGTTACAGAATTTGTCGGGCTGGACTACCGCCGAACAGTGGGGATTTTTTACCAAGCTGCCTTCACCGTGGGGCTGCTGATACTGTCCGGGGTGGCTTATGCCCTTCCTTACTGGCGGTGGCTGCAGCTCACCGTTACTCTGCCCACCTTCTGCTTCCTGCTCTACTACTGGTAAGTCTATTGGGAGCAAGGCAATGAATGCTGTTGAAATATCTTCCTTCCCTTTGAACATCAAGCCTCTAAATAAATTCTATGGTTTCCTTGCCCCCACCCTTCCCCCACCCCCAGCAGGCCTGAGATAAAAATCACACAAACTTTTATGATCTTGCGTTTCATGGTATTGGAACAGCAAGGGTACAATGGGACAGTTCTTCAAGGAGGACAACATCACTGTTGCTATTCTATTCCTCCTTAGGGGAAACTTTAGGATGGAGAAGGCATTACTCATATCACAGCTCCTCCATTCCCATGCCCAAAGCAGACATCCCCAATCAATGCCAGCACTCGTGATAGCAAAAAAGGCCAATGGGATACTCTAGACCATATCAATCAATCAGAATTAGCCAGGCAAGTCCAAGGGAAGCACACATGTGTGTATGTTGGTGGGGAGTTATTTAAAAGGAGGAAGAGCTGAAAGGGTAGCAGGCTGAGTTGAGCTTTGGACATGCTGAAGTGGAGGTAATGAAAGGCAGCTGCCCAGGACCAGTGAAACTTACGATCTAGAATTCAAATTCATTTCCTCTATGCCTTTGTTGTCACCATGGGGACAGAGGAGATGGCTCAGAGGAAGTGAACAGAGCCGAGAGAGGAATGAGACAGGGCCAGAATCAAAGCAACTGCCAATTATTGAAAACTACATAAATGCAGAGCTGCCAAAACCAGAGAAGTGCAAGGGATCCAAGGCTGTCCATGGAGACAAGGGGGTAGTGACAGGCACACGGTGGGCGTGGAAGTCATGGGGGCGAGGCAGGGGACACTGGTCAATCTTCCCTATCTCCCCAAGCCTTGCCTGGCCAGTGCCTAGGCCTAGCGGGACCTGCCCTACGTTCGGTGAGTTCCTGTGTCCACCTCCTCCACCTGGATCATCACTTGTAGTTGGAATCCACTGTTTGCCTGCTGTTGCTTTGTTTGCCTAGCCTAGACGCTGTCAGCTATTTGAGGTCCATCGCATGGCTGTGGTCCGGCTTCCCCGCGGTCTATCTTCCCTGTGGTCCCGCTTCCCTGCGGTCCAGCTGCACTGTGGTCCAGTTTCCCTGTGGTCCAGTTCCCTTGTGGTCCAGTTTCCCTGTGGTCTAGCTTCCCGGTGGTCTAGGCTCCCATCCCAGGCTAGGATTCCCGTAGCAAGGCTCCACGGTGACTGCCTGTGGATAGCTATCACTTTATCATCTAGCAATAGCTACTTCAGAACAGACCCCAAACTCAGGGGCTGAGCTAGAACTCCCATTCCTGGGCTCTCCCTTCACTATTCCTAATTCTCCCACGCATTCCTTTCTACCCCCACAGTGGTTTTCCATCTGGGTGAGCCACAAGTCCTCTCCCAGGTCCACATGTAGGATGCCCAGGTTCCTGCCATTTTGCTCCTGGTTCCTCGCTTTGTTGGCCCCTCGTTCAGGCGACTCATGGCCAGACTGCTTCTGGGCTTCTCGAAGCCGGGCAGCCAGAGCCACGCGGGCACCATGTGCCAGCTAGAAAAATGGCCCAGCAGAGATGCGGAAGGAGCAGAGTAGCCCACCAAGCTCAAGTCCTGGCCCCGAGCCTCAGCCTAGGAGAGTCCTGGCCCCTTTCCTCATGGCCCTCCCATGGAAATACCACCCAGGTCCTGCTGAGCCCTGACTTGAAGTAACTACTCTCCCAGAGCTGTGATCCCAACCTGGCTTCCTGAAGCCTATCAATGTAGCCATTGGATAAAGCCAAGTCAGGAAAAGACTTAATCCCTAAGTTCTCAGCCAATGCAGCAAATATGAAAGCTTAGAGAAGCTAAACACCTTCCATCCTCACATCTGGCACGATAACTAAGGCAAAATGCAAACTTAGTTCCAGTGATAGGAGAGCTTCTTTGAAGAGGACGAGAACCTGTGACATAGTAATGTCACAAGAGACAATAGTTCAGCCCATCTCCGCCATCTTGGCTTCCTCATTACAGAATCTGGTCTTGGGTTAAATAGTGAGAATTAGACTCCTTGGAGATGGCTTTCCAATTGGTGGTCCCTTCTCTTTTTGTGATGCTTCATATTAACTCTCCTATCCTTATTTCCTCATTCTCTTGTCCTTGCTTCCTTGGCCTTTGTAGGACCTGACCCCATTTTTGGCCCTGCTGGTTTTAGTTGATCTGCTTATCCTGCCATCTGTGAATTTTGTAGGCCAGAATTCCGATTGGCTGGTTTTCTACTAACTTCTATCACCAGGGCCTCCCTCCCGCTCCTCATCCCTGAGCCTGACAGCAGTCAGTGCTCTGCCAAGGTCAAACCATGAGGTCTGGCTGTGACAGCTTCAGACCTCCTGACCTCAAGAGCTGACCTCATTCTTTGGGAAATCAGCTTTCACGATAACATACCCAATAACTGATATCACGTAACGTATTTGCTCCTTGCTCCCTACCTGTGAGAGCCTGCACATTTCTACCTCTGCCATTGTCCCTTTCCATTCTCAGGACGTCACAAAGCCAGGGGTCTGTCCAGTGGGGTGGACGGACTCCTCCTCCAGGCAGCACAAGCTGCACATTCAGCTGAGTCCTGCCATGCAGCATGCCTGCAGGTGCACCCAAAAATCTCTAAAGAGGGAGCCCCCAAAGCTTCATGGTAAGGCTGAGGACAAGTCAGCCTTTAAAGGAGGAAAGTACCACACAGCCCCATGAGATGCACAATCTGCCCCTTTGTGGTCTAACTAAAGCTCGCTGTATAAGGTCCTTGCAGAAATCCCATCGTGGAAATCGAGAGAGGGCGGTCATTTCCCCTCCACACCTTTGTACCCTAGGTGCATACCGGAATCACCCAGGTGGCTGATCTCCCAGAACAAAAATGGCAAGGCCATGGGCGTCATTAAGCACATCGCCAAGAAAAATGGAAAATCAATGCCGGCCTCTCTTCAGGTGAGCCACGGCCATAGACATCCAAGTCAGGGACAGGGAAACTGGGAGAGTGGGGGGACCACACACTTGTCATCCCAAGGGAGAATCTAGAAGAATCTAGAATCTGCATTTCAGTCCACGTATAGGGAGATACATAGAATATTTCATATATGAGATTTGTGACTCCCTGGGAGAATGCCTTAAATAGCTGGTACACTGTGACCCAAAGAGAACCAGAAAGCATTTAGAAGTTGGTGGAGGCCACGTGCAGTAGTTTACACCTATATGCCCATCCACTTGGGAGATGGACATAGGATTGTGATTTGAAGCCAGCAAGGGAAAAAATGCTTAGAAAGCTAGCAAGACCCATCCCAGTACCAAGTAGGCGAAGAGGAGGAATGAGGACGAGTAGAGTTGACACAGTTTTGTTTTTTAAAGCCTATGTGAAAATAGAACAATGAAACCTGCTGAAATCGTTTTTAAAAAGGGGAAAGAGGGAAACTGGGGGGGGGGGGCTGATCAGGACACGTTCTTTACATGTGTGGAAATATCACAATGGCCTCACCTTTTGAACAACTCACATACACTTTTTAAAAAAAAAAGAAAACAAAAACACAAGTAGAACATTGTACTTCACACCTGTAATCAAGGACACTCAGGAGCTGTAGACGAGAGGACTACGTCTGAGATGTGTCCAGTGAAAATAGTGAAATTCAACCGAATGCCAAGAGAACTGAAGGTTCAACTGGTGTACACAAGACCTAAGCTCATGGGGCTGGGAAGGTGGCTCAGTGGTAGAGCGCTTGCCTTGCATGCCTGAGGCCCTGGGTTCGATTCCTCAGCACCACATAAGCAAAAAGAAAAAAAGCCGGAAGTGGCACTGTGGCTCAGGTGGTAGAGCGCTAGCCTTGAGCTGAAGAGCTGAGGGACAATGCCCAGGCCCAGAGTTCAGGCCCCACGACCGCACCCAAAAAAAAAAAAAAAAAAAAAGACCTAAGCTCAAACCACGGTACAGCTAATGGAGAAACTTCTATCTCAGGAAAGCTGAGTGACACTGCCAGGCTGCCTTAACAGCGGTGCTCACGTTTCCTGGTGTGTCTAGATCTCTAGATCCAGAAAACACTCGTTTAAGCACATGTTTTTTTGGAAGAATTTGAAACCGTTTGGATAAATCATTCCAAGCCATTCTAAGTCACCTCTGCTTTCACCCTGACCCAGCAAAGTCAGGTCGCTGAGGTGTCTATTGGTTTAAAGTTTGGGGTTGGCAGTTTTACCTTTTGTGAATCTCATCTCTGTGAATTCAAACCTCCTCACGTGATTGGTGCTGGAAGGGAGAAAATAAAGTCTAATCGAAAATTAGGTGACATTGGGGTAAATCATTTCTGAAGGAGGATTAAGAGAAGTTAGCTGTAAGGCGTTGAGACTTACCCAGCATTCAGGCAGAGGATGGGGGCACGGAAGACTTTTGTCTTTGTTCCTCCGTCTCCCTGGGTGGTTATGATGGATGTACTCACCACCAGCGAGCTCATGTCTGGATGGCACCAGTTCTTGGCTTTCAGATCCTTGTGTGATTCAACCAGGATGCAAATCCCAGGTAAACCAGCACTGCCAAGGGAGAGGAAGTTCTGGCGATGGTGATCAGGTCACTGCGATGATTTCTCTTCCTTCGCATGGAGGGGGCAGCGCTCCTTGCCAGCAACCGTGTCTTCCACAGTTGGGCTGCTCGGGTGTTCCGAGCTGGGTACAGCAGCTCCCAGCCACCAGCCCTCTGTCTTCTTACACTGTTTCTCCAGGTGATGCCGGTGCTGGTCTGAATGTTCCGATCCCAGGCCTGAACCTCGGGCCTGACAAGCGATATAGGGAGCCTGATGAAGTCCTGGGGAGGGGGGGCCCCAGTGGGCTGGGCTTCGTGACGCCCCACCGAGCCTCCCCAGAGGTCTCCCTTGATCTGTGCCACCAGTCACCTAACGTCTCTGAATTCCAGCTCCTCTTCTGTAAAAAGGGAGACCAAAATAACTTGTAGGATTTTTCTAACAATTTGAACAAGGCTCAGTGCTGAGCACAGGACCGTGTGGTGGTGAGCTGAAGGAGATATTGCTAGTCTCTGTAGGAAAAACCAGAGACCCCAGACTCCAACCAGAGACCCCAGACTCCAGCAGAGAGCGCCTCATTCTTGCCTTGTTTTCTCAGAGCCTGAGTGCAGATGCGGAAGCCGTGGGAACGCTGCACCCTTCCTTTTTGGACTTGGTCAGAACCCCTCAGATCAGGAAGCACACCTTGATCCTGATGTACAACTGGTAAGAGTCTTTCATCTGTTGTGAAGTCTCTCCAGATTCACGTAATCACAGTCATCCCACGTGACCTGACCCGGGGCTCGGCCGCTGTGGAAGAGGGCGGCATGTGGGTGGCCGCGGTCTCAGACCAATGGCGTCTCTGGGGGAAGAACAGGCCAGGCTCACCCTGGGTTTCCCCCAGTAGAGTCACACCCTCACCTCCAGAAGCTCGCATTGTCAGCCTGTGAAAGTTCCAAACTTTCTGGAGGATTCTAATGTCGACCCCAGTGGAGAACCAACAGTTGAGGTTGCCCAGAGCACAAGAACACAGAGCTGGCCGGCCATGGAAATGGTCTTCGCCTTTTCTTGTTAAGTAAATCAAGTTAGGAACAAGAATAACCCACTGGCCCAGCGGGTGAGGCGCGCATCTCACTGCTCTCGCTGTGCTCCGGGCCCTCGCAGCACCTCTCCCCATGAGCCCCACTTCTTCTGGGAGACTTCTGCACCCCACATCAGGGCAAGAAGGCCCCTTCTTCTTGGTGGAAGCATAAAGCTGGTCACAGGCAGCCCTGAGCTTCGACCTCATTCTCCTTTTCTTTTTCTAAACATTTATGCCTGTTGCTGCTTCTCCTACTTTCCCTTAGAAATCATGCCACTTTGGGGGTCAGTCAATCTAGGCAAAATGGCGTTTGCCTCAGGCCGGAAAAGGAATCATTCCAACGGGAATTACCCATTCGGTCTTCTGCTTTCTAAGATTTGAATTAAGCAATTCATCCTTTTGGCCCCAAATGCTTTAGAAGACCAGAAATGATCTACTGGCGTCAATAACTTAGCAGAGTTATTCCAGCAATGACTCTGCTTGGCCATTCACCCTTCTTGGCTTTCTTCTTGGCCAGAGAAAGCTGTGCCTATTCCTTTTCTGTTTCTGCTTTTTGGGTCCCAACCAGCCACCGAAATGCACCAGCCAGAAGACAAGTGATAGAAAGGGCTTGCAGCAGTGAGGTCATGAGGAAAGACCACCTGTCATCTGCTCCTCTCTTCTTGGTGCTGTGTGTTGGGGGCTCCTCTTGACCTTGCCTCTCTTCTTTGCTCAGGTTCACAAGCTCTGTTCTCTACCAAGGCCTCATCATGCACATGGGCCTGGCCGCAGACAATGTCTATCTGGACTTCTTCTACTCTGCCCTGGTAGAGTTCCCGGCTGCCATCATCATCATCTTCACCATAGACCGTGTTGGCCGCCGGTACCCTTGGGCTGGGTCAAATATGGTGGCTGGGGTGGCCTGTCTAGCTTCGGTGTTCATCCCTGATGGTAAGTCATAACCTTACTGGGGTCTTGTCCCCAAAGCCTTCAATGGGGGTGTCCTTTACCCTACAGACCCATTTCAGTAGACAGCCAGCAATAGTTGCCATCCTCCTGAGCATCCTGCCTAAGCTCCACTCACTACATCACACACACCCAGTGGTGCCCTGGTGGGACCAAACCCAAGAGGCTCTGAAGACCTCAGAACTGGCAGGCCTAGAAAAGACAGCCTGGGCTGTGGACAGATCAGAACTTTCTAGAACTTTCCAGCAACTTCTATGACCCCTGCATCATCCTGCAGTCAATGGGAAAACTCACGTTCCATCAATAAATCATGAGCTAGGGCCTCCACTCCTTGTACAGTGCTCTCTCACTGAATGGGAGTGGAAGCCAGGGAAGAGAAGCCCTCCTGGGGCAGCAACAATTTAACACATGCCCCTTGTCTGGGATGTTCTACAAGGTTGCCCCAGCTTTGGAAACCTGCCTGATTCTGTTCTCATTACAACTGAGATGGAAAGGTAGAGGATCCTTGATTCACAGCTGTGAAACAAGATCTGTGGTGACAGGGACTGGTGGGTTCACCCGGTGGACAGGACTTCTAATGACGGAAGCCGGCGTGACACTGACAGCAGGATGAGTCTTCACGACTGCCCAGCCCCGCAGACTCTCACCAAGACCCTCACGGAGACAGTGGACTTGGGTTGGTGTGGATGGGTCACTGAAGGTGCCGGGACCCCATAGCCAGGCCAGCTGTGAGGTGCACTGGCAAAGGGTGCTGATGGAAGATGTCAAGGGTAGGCTCTATGCTCGCCTCCTCATTTTGTTGTGAACCTAAACCCCCTTAAAAAATTTAAATCCTGTACTAGGTGCCAGTGGCTCACACCTATATTCCTAGCTACCCAAGAGGCTGATAGCGAAGGATCAGACTGTAGTTCAAAGCCAGGCCAGGCAAGAAAAGACCGTGAGACTCTTATTTCCAATTATCTACCCAAAAAGCCAGAGCTGTACTCAAGTGGTAGAGCACCAACCTTGAGCAAAAATTAAAATTAAAAAAAAAAGATCAGGGACAGTACTCAGATCCTGAGTTCAAGTCCAGGGACTAGTACACACACACACACACACACACACACACACACACACACACTATTTGAATTGCACCTGAGGTAAAAACAGACTGTGGAGCTTGCTGTCACTGTCCTGCTTGTGTAGCAGAGCCACTCCACCCCTCCGCCCCTCCAGAACTGTGGGATTTGCCCTCACAGACCTGCGGGCCACGGTTTGGAGTCAAGGGACCATGCACCTCGTGTACAACATCATAAGCGCTGGAGCCAGGGCACCGCCAGCCGTGCGGCGTCTGAAGCGGCTAAGCGCTGTGTTTTGCCCTCAGAGCTCCAGTGGCTGAAAATCACGGCAGCGTGCCTGGGGAGGATGAGCATCACGGTGGCCTTCGAAATGGTCTGTCTGGTCAGCGCAGAGCTGTACCCCACCTTCATCAGGTGAGCCGCTAGGGGTGCTGGGAACACTTGGTTTGGGGAGAGGCAGAGGACACCCCACCTCCGACAGCACAGAGTGAGGATGGCGGCGCCAGGAGGGAGCGGGGGGGGGGGGGGGGGTCAGGAACGACTTTGTAGAAACAGTACAGGGAGGCCACAAGACAGAGAAAAGAGAAAAACGCTCCCTACCCCGTACACCAGAGCGGCGGAGACAATCGCACCTGGCGACCATGTTTGTGCACTGAAAATAATGTGAACAGTGGCTTTCAGTTTTCAGATGTTTTGACGATTCAGGGAAGTGTTTATTCAGGATGGCGGGGAGTGGAAGATACGGCTCAGTGGTACATTAAAGTTCTAAATCAGCGCTGGGTATAGGGTTCATATAAGCCCAGCGACTCAGGAGACTGAGGGAGGCAGAAAATAGAAGGATGACCAGGTTCAAGGACAGCCAGGCAAAACATGAGTGAGACCCCATCTCAACCATGTCTATCATTCCCACAAAGAAGGAGATATAAACAAGGGGATCGTGGTCCAAGCCAGCTGAGCATAGCCATGACAACCCCTTTACTGAAGTAAAAAGAAGGTGTGTTTGGGGGGGGGGGGGGATTGCGGTGGTAGAGTGCCTGACTAGCAAGAGCAAGGCCCTGAGTTCCACATCCATCCGTGCCCAGCCCCCACAGACACACACACACAACGAAACCCATGTTTGGTGGTTTAGGAACCTTGGCGTCCACGTCTGCTCCTCCTTGTGTGACATCGGCGGCATCCTCACGCCATTCCTGGTCTACCGCCTCACCGCCGTGTGGCTGCAGCTCCCGCTGGTGGTGTTCGGTGAGAAACCCCACAAACTCCTTTGTGCTTCTAGGGGCCTCCATTTCCTCCCAGCAAAAAAGGCGTCGTGGCTGTTAGTAGCTAATTACTGGTCATTAGAATATTAGCAATACTGAGTAGCCATGCGTGAATCTCAAATGCTACTGGTCACTACTGATACTCAGCAGGACTTCCACCCTGGGGGGACGAATGGACTGAAGGAAGTGTGAGAGGGAAGAATGTTTCCTGCAGCCCCCTCATTCTCTGTCTACACCCATCTCACCACCATGCCCTGACACTTGGAAAAGTGTTTACATTCCCAAAACCAGAGGAAACACAATTCACAGTCAAGGAAACGTACCCGCCCGGTGCGGTGGCACACATCTGCAAGCCTGTCTCAAAAAGACTAAAAGTAAAAAAAGAGTCTCAGGTGCTAGCTGGCTGCCAGCCAGGGTGTGCGTTGCTTGCATCCATTGTAATAAAAACCACACCAAGCAGCCACTAGACAATGTAGAGGGTGAATTATCTCAGCACCAGAGTCCAGTTTGCCCCGGAAGCCAGGGCATGGCAAATGTGAATTCAGCTCAGCATTAGGCCCCAGAGTGGGTGAGTCAGAGCCTGGTGCAGGGAAGTCATGGTGTCCTGGGGCATCCCTTCCTGCCATTTTGAGGGCAGAATGGAATTGAAATCCAGCATGCGATGCTCTGGTAAAGACCCCACATCCTACTTCCACTCAATAATGGGGAACACGTAATATACTACATATTATATTATAGCATAAATATGTCAGTAGTATTAGAATATGAATCAACAAAACAATGCAGCCAGGTGCCAGTGGCTCACCCCTATAATCCTAGCTACTCAGGAGGCTGAGATCTGAGGATCTTGGTTCAAAGCCAGCCTGGCCAGGAACATCTGTGAGAATCTTATCTCCAATAAACCACTTTGAAAACCGGAAGTGGTGCTGTGGCTCTAGTTGTAGAGTGTTTGCCTTGAGCTGAAGAGCTAAGAGACAGCGCGTAGGCCCAGAGTTCAAGACCTACAACTGACAAAAAAAATCAATACAGTTATTAAAGATTATATAACTAGAGAAAAATTGAACAAGAGGAATTTAGCCATCTCCTGAATTTGAACTCAGTGACCTGGGTGTGTTTTTTTTTAATACAACTATGCAATAATGTGTGATCTAATACTCTTATTTGCTGTAATGGTCCAAGTTTCTGACTTTGTTCCTTTACTAAGTGCTTTGTATTGGCAGGCCTGTGTTCTTCCTAGATTGTTTCCATCGTTAGTTTCTAGCTCCAAAACATCTTAACCCTGTGGCAATGTCCTCTAGCCTAGAATAACCTTCACTCAAAATATTCAGTATTAATTTCCCTAAAAGGAGTTGTAACCCTTTGGTGATCAGAATCAGTGTAAAAATCAGGGTGGGAAACAAGGTCATCAGAGATGGCAGGGGTGAATAAATACAGAACACTTTCTCCCCCCAAAAAGAACTAGACAGGGAGCTGTGTCACAGAGCCTAAGGACCCCGTTCTTACTGTGTCTGCACATCCCTCAGCTGTGGTTGGTCTGATCGCTGGAGGTCTGGTCTTGTTGCTACCTGAGACCAAAGGGAAGGCTTTGCCTGAGACCATCGAAGATGTGGAGAACATGCTGAGGTGAGCTGCCCTGAGCCTCCCTGAGCCTCTCAGAGCTGCCCTGAGCTGCTGAGAGCCTTCCTGAGCCTCCCTGAGCCACCTTGAGCTGCCCTGAGCCTCCCTGAGCTGCCCTCAGCCACCCTAAGCCTTCCTGAGCCACCCTAAGCCTCCTTGAGCTGCCCTGAGCCTCTCTGAGCCTTCCTAGCCTCTCTGACCTGTCCTGAGCCTCCCTGAGCTTCCCTGAGCCACCCTAAGCCTCCCTGAGCCTCCCAGAGCCTCCCGGAGCTGCCCTGAGCCTTTCTGAGCCTTCCTGAGCCTCTCAGACCTGCTCTGAGGGAGCAGGGAGCTGAGCCACCCTAAGACTTCTTAAGCCCCTCTGAGCTGCCCTGAGCTGCCCTGAGCCTCTCTGAGCTGCCCTGAGCCACCCTAAGACTCCCTGAGTCTCTCTGACCTGCCCTGAGCCTCTGAGCTGCCCTGAGCCTTTCAGAGCCTCCCTGAGTCTTCTTGAGCTGCCCAGAGCTGCTCTGAGCCTCCCTGGGCCTCCCTGAGATGTTCTGAGCCACTCTAAGCCTTCCTGAGCCTCCCTAGCTGCCCTGAGCCTGAGCTGCCCTGAGCCTCTTTAACCTGCCCTGAGCCTTCCTGAGCTGCCCTGAACTGCCCTGAGCCTTTCAGAGCCTCTTTGAGCATTCTTGAGCTGCCACGAGCTGCCCTGAGCCTCACTGAGCCTCCCTGAACCTCCCTGAACTGCCCTGAGCCTCCCTGAGCTGCCCTGAGCCTCCAAGAACTACCCTGAACCTCTCTGAGCCTCCCTGAGCCTCCCTGAGCTGCCCTGAGCCTTTCAGAGCCTCCTTAAGCATTCCTGAGCTGCCACAAGCTGCTCTGAGCCTCACTGAGCCTCCCTGAGCTTCCCTAAGGCTCCTTGAGCTTCTCTGAGCCTTTCAGAGCCTCCCTGACCCTTCTTGAACCGCCCTGAGCTGCTCTGAGCCTCCCTGATCCTCCTGGAACCTCCCTGAACTGCCCTGAGCCTCCCTGAGCTGCCCTGAGCCTCCATGAACTACCCTGAGCCTCCCTGAGCTGCCCTCAGCCTTTCAGAGCCTCCCTGAGCCTTTCAGAGCCTCCCCTGAGCCTTCTAGAGTTGTCCTGAGCTGCTCTGAGCCTCCTTGATCCTCCAGGAACCTCCCTGAACTGCCCTGAGCCTCTCTGACCTTCCCTGAGCCTCTGTGAGCTGCCCTGAGCCTCCCTGAGCTGCCCTGAGCTGCTCTGAGCCTCCTTGGGCTGCCCTGAGCCTTTGAGAGCCTCCTTGAGCCTTCTTAAGCCACCCGGAGCTGCTCTGAGCCTCCCTGAGCCACCTTGAGCTGCCCTGAGCCTCCCAGAATTTCCCTGAGCTGCCCTGAGCCTCCAGGAGCTGCCCTGAGCCTTTTTGAGCCACCCTGAGCTACTCTGAGCCTCCCTGATCCTCCCTGAACCTCCCTGAGCTGCTCTGAGCTGCTCTGAACCTCCAGGAGCTTCCCTGAGCCTTCCTGAGCTGCCCTGAGCCTCCTTGAGCTTCCCTGAGCTGCTCTGAGCCTCTATGAACTACCCTGAACCTCCTTGAGCTGCCCGGAGCCTCCCTGAGCCTCCTTGAGCTTCTCTGAGCCTCCTTGAGTTGCCCTGAGCTGCTCTGAGCCTCCATGAACTACCCTGAACCTCCTTGAGCTGCCCTGAACCTCCCTGAGCCTCCCTGAGCTGCTCTGAATGTCCCTGAGCTGCCCTGAGCCTCCCTGCGCCTCCCTGAGCTGCCCTGAGCTGCTCTGAACCTCCAGCAGCTTCCCTGAGCCTTCCTGAGCTGCCCTGAGCCTCCTTGAGCTTCTCTGAGCCTCCTTGAGTTGCCCTAAGCTGCTCTGAGCCTCCATGAACTACCCTGAACCTCCTTGAGCTGCCCGGAGCCTCCCTGAGCCTCCCTGAGCTGCCCTGAGCTGCTCTGAGCCTCCATGAGCTGCCCTGAGCCTCCTGAGCTTCCCTGAGCTTCCCTGAGCTACCCAGATTCTCTGGTCTCTGTGCACTAAATCTTTCTAGACCACCCTATAGTAAGTTGGAGAGAAAGACTAATTGGAATCCATATCTCATCATACTCTGACATAAACTCAGACTCAAAGACTCAAAAGTTGAAAAATAATGATGAGGCCATAGATCTTCATAACGTCTATATGTCTTCATAATGAGGAAGGTCTTTGTAAATATGACACAAACAAAAATTCCATCTTTTTGCATTCACAAAAGTGAAGACTTCTAGCCAGGTGCTTCTAGCTCATGCCTGTAATCCTAGCTACTGAGGAGGCTGAGATCTATGGATCACCGTTTGAAGCCAGCCCAGGTAGGAAAATCCATTAGATTCTTATCTCCAATTGATCAACAACAAAAATCTACAATTTGGAGCTCAGATAGGGCATTAGCTTTGAGCAAAACAAAAACAAAAAAACTAAGGGACAGCACCTAGGCTCTAAGTTCAAGACTTAGGAAGGAAAGGAACAAATATTAAATACATGCTGAGATGGCTAAGAGGTCCTACAAGAACAAACATCTTACTGTGCCTGATATATAAATTATACTGCATTGTGCATAACGAAAAACATGTCATAATTTCAGTACTGGTTGTGATTTCAGGCTTGCAGGGGAGTGTAGGGTATGGGAGAGGGGGCATATGTCTGTGTGTGTATATCTCTAGAAGAATGTGCTAGAACCATTCATTGCTTGGCTATAGAGTGTGGTGGCATATGGACCTATTTTTAAAGTACACTAAATAAAGAGAAGCCTGTGTGCTACCTTTCCTCAAAAGATTTTATTCTAATATTGCATGCTTAGAAATTTTATTCCCCCCCCCTAAAAAAAAGAAATTTTATTTTTGGGGCTGGGAAGGTGGCTCAGTGGTAGAGCGCTTGCCTTGCATGCATGAGGCCCTGGGTTCGATTCCTCAGCACCACATAAGCAAAAAGAAAAAAGCCGGAAGTGGTGCTGTGGCTCAAGTGGTAGAGTGCTAGCCTTGAGCTGAAGAGCTGAGGGACAGCGCCCAGGCCCAGAGTTCAGGCCCCACAACCGGACCCCCCCCCCCCCAAAAAAAAAGAAATTTTATTTTCTCTATTTCTGGTCCATGTTTGTCAGGAACTAAGATGAATTCCATGCATTCTATAAAGAGTAAGCACGTAGCAAGCATACCCAGGACTTGGGCGTGGCGTGGATGAGCTGCAGTGCCCGGACTTTCCTAGAGTTCCATCTCAGAGGTGAAAGGAGGCCTTTCCCCTCAGGATGAGGCCACACCCTGGCAGCCCCCGAGCACCAGGCTCCCACATGCTTTCTTTGGCCCATACAGTATTTATTACAGCAAGAACTGCCATACAAATGGACTTCCAGGACCGGTTACAAGACCAGATGTGGAAACACTGTGCAAGCATGCCCTGTGGCAGCAATGTGAGCAGTGAGGGCATGCCCTCTGTGGCAAGCCAAGGCCCCCACCGCTCCCAGCAGCCTGTGTCTGGCACACATATGCTCTCTGGCTGGCTCAAACAGACATTTGAGTTTGAAGCCTTTGATCTAGAGGAGCTCACCTGCTCCTCTAGTCAGCTGAGCTTCCTGTGGACGGGGGCATCTCTTCACAGGATGATGCAAAGTCTGTCTGTGAGCTTTGTGCCGTGGCCAGCCTCACGCCTGGCACATACAAAGCAGGAGCCTTGCAAACACTTACAGATAGATCCTGGAGCCCTTTTATGGCATTATAGCCGTCTCCCATGTCAGAATGAAGGGAAGAGCCTGGGCTGTAGAATCTGACAGACCACACTCATGTAGGACCAGATTCCCATCTGAGTGATCTTAATCAGTCTCCCTGGCTCATACCTGTCATCCTAGCTACTAGGAGGCTGAAATTGAGGATCAAGGTTTGAAGCAAACCCAAGAAGGAAAGTCCATGAGACTCTTATCTCCAATTAACCACCAAAAGTCCGAAGTGGAGCTGTGGCTCAAGTGGTAGAGCACCAGCCTTGAGCACAAAAGCTCAGGGACAGCACAGGATGGACACAAAAACAGAATAGAATAAAACAAATGACCCTGTCTGTCTTGCTTATGTGCATCATTCCTTCTCCATGACAGCAAAAGCTAATGTTCATGACTGGTCTTGACTAGTACAACTCCCATCCGCCCTCTTTCAATGTGCACAGGTCTTCTTTGTAACCCATCGATGACTGACGCACAATGCTGAAACCCACTGACAAGCCATGCACTGCTGGGCATTCAGCCAGCGGTCCTGCTGTCATCTTTGCTGCTGCTTGTGGTGGTGCTGCAGTTGTTGTCCATGACATCGCTACTGCTGTTGCTGCTATTAGAACTGACACTACAGTTGCTGCTGTTGGTGTTTCTGCTGCCGAAGCTGCCAGTGTCATTTTTGTTGCTGCTGTTGTTGTGAGATTTTTGTTGTTGAGTTGCTGTCATTGTTTCTGCTATTACTATTGGAACTGTTCCTGGGCTTATTACTGATGTGGGACTTGCTACTGCTGTTGTTGATAGTACTGTGGTTGACGGTACTTTTGTTGATGGTGCCATTGGTGGTGGTACTGTTAGTATTGTTGGTGGTACTGTTGGTGGTACTTTTGTTGGTGGTGCTATTGTTGGTGCTGCTGTTGTTGATGGTTCTGTTGTTGATAGTGCTGTTGGTGGTGGTACTTTTGTTGATAGTGCTGTTGGTGGTGCTGTTGTTGATGGTGCTGTTGGTGGTACTATTGTTGATGATCCTGTTGTTGATGGTGCTGTTGGTAGTACTGTTATTGGTACAGTTGTTGATGGTGCTCTTGGTAGTGTTACTGTTGTTTATGGTGCAGCTGTTGGTACTATTTTTGCTGGTGCTGTGATTGATGGCACTTCTGTTGATGGTACTGTTGGTGGTGGTGCTGTTGTTGATGGTGCTGTTGTTGCTGCTGTCATTTCTGGTGATACTGACAAGGCTTCTGTGGCTGCTGCTGTTTCTGATGCTGTTGTTGGTGCTGTTGCTCTTCCCGATAATGATGTCCGGTTACTGGGCACAGAGACTGCGGGAGCTTAAGAGATCTGATTATACTTCCACTGGGGCCTGAGAAAACAACAACACGATGATTTACTGAGCTTCTGCCAACCCCAGTTCAGACTGGGCTGGTCTAGAAACTGAGGCAGGACTGACCGTGTCCCCATGGAGGGTTGCACAGGTAGTCAGGGGCTGGAGCAGCCCACACCTGAACTGGCATGAGTGGGAACATGGCGAGGAACAGCACCCAGTGTGCTCAGATAGACAACTGCGAAACTGCAGCTGGAGCGAGTGTTTTCACGACTTCAGCAACAGAAAGTCCCAAATTACATTTGAGAACTGCTAAGTGTCTGGATTTTGTAGACATCATCTTTAACTGATAAAAGTTTATATTTAGTCTTTACTTGTGTTCCCTATTACAGAGGATGGTGAAGTCTCTCAGCAGTAGTTCATTGCAGGCCGATTCTACTTCTAGAGGAGTTTCGGGATCATCCCCTTCTAGTAATTTACCGAGCTCTGACCATTTTTGTTATGAAAATCATTACTCATAACACTGTGCAAGACAACCCTTGGATAAATCATACCTGGTATTTCATTTATTTATTACACACTTTCGTTTGTTATTCCATCTAATAGTCTCTTTCTTCCCTCTCCAACTGTGTTTCCTATTACAGACCAAGAAAATATAAAGAAAAGATGATTTATCTCCAAGTCAAGAAATCAGACACTCCCAGAAACTAAGGGGGAGGCCAACCATGAGTCTCACTGAGCCTGGCTTTGTCAATACAAGGCCAGAGCAAAAATGTCATCCCTCAGCACGGAGCTCGCACAAGTCAACCTTACTCATCCCTGAGCTCTGTCAACCTGGAGCTATCAGTTTGTTGTACTGCTGGGTAAAATCTACCTGCAGACCAGCTCCTTCCAGGCATACCAGCTCCCGCTGTGCTGGGCCTGCCCAGGACAATGGCTGCTGGTTTGCTAGAACTTTCCTCACTATCTTTGTATTTCCTTATTTGAATCCCTTCTCTGTAATGACATCAAGCCAAATACACAGGGGTGCTGTGGGCCAGGGAAACTAATGAGAAACGATTGAAAAACAGTGAAGTTGTGAGAAAAGAGTCTCTTTTCATAAAGAACATTTAGAGCAATATCAAGTGCTCCAGAACAAATTACAAGAACTTTGAACTTCACCTTCCCAGGGGAAGAAAAATTTAAATATACTGATTATTAACCTTGTTAGACTTGAAAAGAGCTTTAAAAAAAAAAAAAACAAATGTAACTCATAATCACTCACTCCACTTGTATTTATACCAGGTAACTCCAAAAGTGTGCTTTCTAGAACATTTAAAGAACATTGTGGGTATTATTAAACCATAGATAGCCATTTTCAGTGTAGTAAAACTTGCAAAATAACACACTTCTTAAAAATTATAGGGAAGTAAACTGGGTGCTTGTGGCTCACACCTACAATCCTAGTTACTCAGGAGGCTGAGATCCAAGGATCATGGTTTGAAGCCAGCCTGGGTAAGAAAGTCCATAAAACTTTTTTTTGGGGGGGGGGCGGCGGGGGGCGTCTGGTCGTGGAATCTGAACTCTGGGCCTGGGCGCTGTCCCTCAGCTCTTCACCTCAAGGCTAGCACTCTACCACTTGAGCCACAGTGCCACTTCCAGCTTTTTTCTTTTTACTTATGTGGTACTGAGGAATCGAACCCAGGGCCTTAAGCATGCAAGGCAAGTGCTCTACCACTGAGCCACCTTCCCAGCCCAAAAAGTCCATAAAACTCTTATCTCCAACTAACTACCAAAAAAGCTGGAAGTGAAGCAGTGGCTCAAATGGTAGAGCCCTAGCCTTGGGCAAAATAGCTCAAGGATACACCCAGGCCCTAAATTCAAGCTCCAGAACCAGAAAACACTCTCTCTCTCTCTCTCTCTCTCTCTCTCTCTCTCTCTCTCTCTCTCTCTCGTACGTATATAGGGAAATGAGTTTGTTCAAAGTGCACTGTGTGGGAACATGAAATGAACCACCTACTACTACAAAAGAATGCTAATTAAAAAATGAAGTAGCTTGTTAGTTACTATGATATTTTACCCAAGTAATATTGTACATACACTTTTAAAGCTCCGTACTCTTAAGATTCATAATGAAAAACGGTTTTTTTGTCTAGTCCACCTCTGCCCACCCTTCAGAGAAGAGTTCTAGCCCTTTCAGCCATGTTTAATCCTGAAATCGCCCCTCATACATCTAAACAACTATGATGACTTTTCAGGGAAATATTATCTACTGATTTTTGACATGAAAGATGACAAGCTGGCTTTCAGCTCTTCCCTCATCCACACTCTTCAAGCCCCACATCATCACGTCCGTACTAGCCACCAGCTCCTGGCGCAGGGGCCGTGTGGCCGTTACCAGCAGATGAGCCGTGCAGGGCCCTCTCACTGTGCTGCCTTTCTCCCACGGCCCTTCTGAAAGCTGAGCATTTTTTGGTGATAAGGGATTTGAACAAGGCAGACATTCTATGACTGAGCCACTACCACAGCCCATTTTGCTTTTAGTTATTTTTCAGATGAGATCTCATGTTTTTGGATCAGGTCACCCTCAGACCACGGTTCCATTACCTATGCTTCCCACCTATCCGGGATTATAGGTGTGAACTATCACACCTTGATTGCTTGCTAAAATAAGAACCTATTTGGGGGCGGGGGGGGAGGCAAGCTGGAGAGGAAACTGGCCTTCAACAGAGATCCTACATATCTCCACCTCCAGAGTAGATGGAGGTTATAGGCATGAGCTACTCAGCCCAGTCCAGTGTTTCAAAATAGCAGACTAAAGCAGTGTCAGAAAAGAAGAGAGCTTACTATTACAGTTAAAAAAAAATTCCAGAGTCTTGTGGAGGCAAAGTGGAAAACCATTGAAAAGTTGGGTCTAATTTGATTGAGTGGCTATAGGAAAACAGCATAAGTTGAATTCACAGATGGTCAGGTCTCTTGAATGGGTGGGAAGGGTGGTACCCTGCTGAAAATGGCAACGGAAGCCCCAAGGGGTGAAAATCTTGAATCCCCAACCCCCTAGCCTTTTCCTTGCTGAGAGCAAAGATCAGAGTTCTGAGCTTGGTTTTTGATGTCCTCACTTAACTTTGATGCCTAGGACAAGGAGGCTAACACCCTCACACCCCCACCCATTGCCACCCCCACAACCCCCACCCATTATCATCCCACCCCCACACCCATTACCACCCCCACCCATTACCACCCTCCACCCACACCCATTACCATCCCACACCCACACCCATCACCACCCCCACACCCATTACCAACCCTCACCCCTACCCATTACTACCCCCACCCATTACCAGCCCCCCACCCATTACCACCCCCACACCCATTACTACCCCCACCCATTACTACCCCACACCCCCACCCATCACCGCCCCCCCCCCCCATTACCACCCCACATGCCTGCAGTACAGCCCAGCTCCCATGTCCAAGGGAATAATCAAAATCCCATCCAGGAAAGATGTTGCTTACACACTCAAATAACTTCAAGATTTTATAGTCTATACCAGAAAAAAAAAAAGTGAAGTTATGAATGGTAAGGATGCTAGAGACTCAGGAGGATGACATCAGATCTGTTCTACCTATAAACTCCCTAATGGAAGATTCTAGATTCAACCTGTTAGCTGAGACAGTCATTACTCCAGTACAGATGGACACCCCTTGACTCGCGCTAGGGTGGGGCCTTGAACAAATCCACTTTAGTTGATCTAAAGTCAAAATGCATCGAGAAGCTTGGAACTGGCTGTTCTCTCAGCTACTCAAGAGGCTGAGGTGTGAGTTGAAGCCAGCCTGGGCAGGAAATCTGTGAGACTCTTACCTCCCACAGGCTAGACGTGAGGCTGTGGCTCAGAGATAGAGCACTGGGGCAGCGTCCCGGCCCTGATTTCAAGCCCCAGGACAGGCACACCACCTCCGCTCTGGACCTGCCCACCCATCCACCACTTGCTATTTGCCTAAACAAACGCTTGAGGATTTATTGTGTCCTGCTGCCTTTTAAGACGACGAATGGGCATTTACACACAGTGAGACCAAAGGAGAACACTCTCAGGAGAGAAGACAAAGGGGCAATGCCTACACGCCTCCGATCATATAAAATATCAAAATGAACTCCGGGAAATGGAAACAACAGATTGTTTTCTTTCTTGCTATTTTTGTTTTCTTTTTGTCTCATTTGTTCATTTGTCTGTCTTTGGGAGGGTGAGAGGGACAAAGGGTGAACAAATACAGCAGCGGTACTCACTAGACACTGCTGAAATGAACTGTACAACTTGCAGGTGGGGATGGGAGGGAAAAACTGGGAGAGAGCAAGGGAAGGGGTGACACTGTCCAGAAAGAAACGTACTCATTGCCTGACCTGTGCAACTGTAACCCCTCTGGACACCACCTTTGTAATAACAAAAAGTAAAAAACAATAGTAATATTAAGATGAATGGTTGGAGCTAGGAGGGGCTGAGCAGTAGAATACCTGCAGAGCAAGCGCAAAGCCGAGTTCACAACCCAAAAGCAAACAAACAAACAAAAAGAAAGCACAAGGCAAGGTTAGACAAACAGTGGCAGGTCCTGATCTTGTGACAGACCTGAGCACACGACCCTGAGCCAAGGACTTGGAACCAGTGACTGGGCTCAGAGTGACCGCCATGAAATTCTGGAATCAACAGCACCTCCGCAAACGCACCTTTCCCAACACACTCCACTGAAATCCTCAGAAAATTAGGTCTTGGGTTCAACTTCGGGTGTCGCCAGCAACCATTTCTTCAGGGCAGGAAGGTGTGGCGGAAAGGCTGAGCGTGTCCACCGCGGCTGCAGGTGTGAGGTCCACAGGCCGGCGTAGTGCCCGGCCCCCCTCATTCTGCCTGGCAGATTAGTCCGGGACAGGGCAAACAGTGCACCCCAAGTGCTTGTCTCAAGCCTGACCGCTGCAGGGACTAGGTGAGATAGCATGTCCGCCCTTCCATTCTCTCTCCTGGCCTTCCTGCCTCCCTCCCAGCATCCATCTACCCCATTCGATCCCTGCTTTTCCTTGGGACTCCACCAACCTCCCTTTGGGCCTTCATCGAGAAATTCACACACCATGACCCAGAATCTGAGAACACAATCGGAGGGCCACACCAGGCGGGGGCCAGGGACCTTGTAGACCAAGCTGGCTCTGTTATGGAAACCGTGTCCGTGTGGAGAGCGGGAGGGCCCTGAGTTATGTGAGGGCTTCTGTGCCCAGCAGTGGCTCCTAAAAAGCAGTGTCACTTGGTGCCAGGCACCTGGTGCCATCCAGCTCTGGCAGTTGGAACCCAGAACTTCTTGCCCGGCACAGGATTCTGCCACGTAGTGTCCTGAGCGCTTCTTGTGGACACCATGTCTCATTGGGATTTTACTGCCAGTGATGGAAACAACCACAGGAACACTTGTTTTCTTTGTAACTTGATAGAAGAATTCTGAGTCTACATTTGTATTTTGCTTGCCCAATTTCTAATCAATCTCAATTCTCGGAAAGGCCCGCAGTACCTCCCCCAAAGCAAATATTCAGTGATTATTTTTATGTCAGAGGAGGAATGAGATAGAATGTCCCACGCAGGGCCACAATGCCAGCAGCCAGTCACCCCACGGGGCTGGATGAGCCTGGTGTGGGCCATGTCCCTGCAGTGTTCGACCACTGCCCAGCCCCCGAAGGGCTGGCCTTGGTCTTTTTATGGATAATCGTGTTCTCTTGCATAGTGATGTTGACATTACAATTGACACTGAGATGGGTGAGCTGTGTGGATCTGGGATCTGGACGAAGGGAACTGAGCAATGGCAGCCCTGGGTGAGGGAAGGAGGCAGGACCAGCCTGGGCCTCACTGAGTTAGTACTGGCTCTGCTGGCAGGGTGGAACCGGTCAGCCTCCCTGGGAAGCTGACATTTAGTTACTGATGCTAAAAGTCCAAGATGAACCAGGGCTACAGCAAGGGGGAGAGCGGAGGGAGAGGGAAGTGGATATAGGGGGAGGAGAGAGGAGAGACTTAGGGAAGAAAACATGATGATTGATGCGATGTGGGGCAAGAGGTCAAAAGA